TGTGCTGTATCTGTAGTAGAGACGTGCTAGCCAACAAAAAGATAATTATAGCAATTAATTTGTATTAAATTCAAGACTCAATAGTTCATGTCAAAGTGGAACCATAACAGTTTTCTTTTAAGGAGTCGCCAGCAAAAAGTAAAACTGTATTTATACAGCGCCTTTTAAGATGCTCATATTAAACATGCCCAAAGTTTCAGATAATGAGGTCAAGGTGTGTTCAAGTAACCACAGGCTTCAGACTGCTCTAAATATTAAGGGTCAGATTCTGTTTCAACATTCGGCTCAGTATGAAGTCAGAGAGATAGCTGTGAGCACATCAGCCCTACTTTCAAACCTTCTGTTTTGGAGGGAGAGCCAATCAGAAGATGGTTGGCAAATTTATGTGCTGCACCATGGCCCAGTATAAGATAAATAAGGATTATTTTGAACTTTGACTCATTCTACTAGAGTCCAAAAAAAGAATAGAGTTGGCAATGAGCTCAATAAGGTCTGAGCCAAGAGTCTAGCCAGTATATCAGTGGGGCCCATGTATAGGCCGATATTAGCTCCTTACCGATATATTGGTACTGGTATTTATAGCAGTCAAAATATTAAAATTAAGTAATAAAATAGATGTGAGAAAGATGTACACGTGTGTGTGTGTGTGTGTGTGTGTGTGTGTGTGTGTGTGTGTGTGTGTGTGTGTGTGTGTGTGTGTGTCACAAATACAACCAGCAGAGTCGAGCAGAGCATATTGTAACCCTTGACTTTTGACAATAAAACTGCATTGTTATGTTATCTTAATAGTGACTCATAAATAACACGCACAACAAAATGTTAGGGAAATCTGTTTGTGTTTTTGTGCGTTTCAAAAAATGTAATAAAAATTGTCCGATATTAGATATTTAAATAACTAAATATCTATCTCAAAAAAATTTTATCTGTCAGGGTCTACAAGTTTATCTGAAGAGGGGACTTGAATAAATATATTTATTCCTATAATCTATTTGATGAATACAAAAGTAGGGGTAGGACATAATTCAACTTCTATCCCTTAGGAAGTGCATGTGATCACCACAATGCAGGCACTCCCCCACACACAGACCAGCTCAGTTGCTGAGGTGACTCACCAATCAGAGGGCGCAGGGGAAGGACAGTGACACATTCGCCTTTGTAGCTGAGAACAGTCACGGGGAGATGAAGATCAATGTGCTTGCATGAAGATGGCCACGCTGAGAAACCACAGAGCAGCCACCTCATATCCTTCACCAGATGACTTGGAACAATCACGAGAGCATGGAAGGAACTGATGAGGAAACAGGCTGCGCAATCTTTAGCTCAGCTGGCTTCAGCACATCGTACTAGCTCCCTGCTTCATCTCACCATATTGACACCTGCATGAAACTGATCACAACAATAGTGCCTTTTACAGAGCAAGCTGGTGTAAATATAGTTACAATTAATGAGTTAATGAGTGGCATTAGAGTGGAAACCTATAGCACCATCAACATGTGGCAACAACAACTTGGGCTGATTTTTGACTCTGTGAAACACAACCCCACCTTCAAAATTGTTTTCGTCCTGAGCCACATGTCACTAAGCCTGTTAACCAGTGAGCACTACCAGGAACCTTAGCTTAGTAGGTGATATAACATTACAACAGAGAGGAATGTTCCTGGTAGATCCTGCTGTTCTGTGAAATCATTTACCGTAATTGTCGGGCTATAAGCCGCTACTTTTTGCACAAGCTTTGAACCCTGCGGCTTTTAGTCAGGTGCGGCTTTTCTATGGATTGTCCATGATTTTTGTCATATCGTAAGACTATTTGTTTTATTTGTTCCGCTGTTGTACGGCATTACGTTGCCTGGCGGAAGGTCATGTGATCTGACACACAGTATCGGGGTTCAAGAGTGGTATGTTGGTCACATGTCCATCCGCCAGGCAACATAGTGTTGTACAAGTAGCGCGAAAAACAAACTTCAAAGTAGCACTACCCGTTCAGCAGGAGACGTGGATGATGAGCGCCGATAAACTTGCGAAAAGCAAGTTATGCTCAACTCCACCAGTGGAATCTGACAGCGTGGAAAAGTGTGAAAACATCCATGATCACCAACGGATTTCGAAGGGCTGGACTGCCGCATGATGGAGAGGAGGACACCGCTACGGCCCTTCTGAGGGTGTTCGACTCTGACACTGACAACGAGGATTTGTTTGGTTTTGAAAGTGACAACGAAGGAAAGAAGCTGAGAGTGGATGACGAAGCCATCCTGAGCCTGTTCGTATCCGACACTGGAGAAGAGGACTTTGGTGGTTTTAGTGCGCAGGAAGAAGAGAAAGATGGTGGTGAATGACTGACTTTTCTTCTTGTTAAAGCCGTGTCACTGCACCTGAGCCTAAAAGGTAGTCCAATCTATTTTTCTGGTGTGCTGCAGGTTATTGTTATGTACTACATTTGTTACTCATTTATGAAGCACAGTACATGTTTCGTACTTGTAATTACCGCTACTTGTACATATACCTAAAAAGTTATGCAAATATGTACCCATAACTTGTTTTTCAAGATATTAATAAAAGGGGTGTGTCTCCAAACAGCCATCTCTTTCCTGACAATTCCCTTTGTGCATATTCTCTTACATATGATAAGTCAACATTGAAACACCTGCGGCTTTTAGTCAGGTGCGGCTAATGTATGTACAAAACAGGATTTTCCCCTGATTTTAGCTTGTGCGGCTAATATTCAGGTGCGCTTTGTAGTCCGGGAAATACGGTAATAACATCACTATGCATGCTTCCCATAAACCTGTTAGGAAGTCACACGAGTCTTGCACAGCAAACGTGATAGCAGCTAGGCCCGCTTCTTGAAGTACTCCGCAGCTGGAGCCTTCACCCAGAACTTCCCAGAGGCTGGAGATATTCGAGCCGAGCTGGACAGGTTACAATCACACTCATCACTGACTCAGAAAGCTTACATCTGGGCTCACCTACAACAGCAAGCTGGCCTTTTAATCCCCTCATGTGGTGACATGATAGAGGCAAGGATTAAAAGCCAGCCAGCCAGCCATCCAGCCAGTCAGTCAACACCATTGCCCTGCCTGGCTGCGTACTTGCATCATCGTCCCCAGTGCTTCACTTAGCTTTTACTGCAACTGGGGAAGGACAGTTCAGCAGATGCTCGAGGCCAGGCTGTGGTCATATAAATCTATAATGCAGTACCATTACTCCTGCTATACTTCATCTATAAATAGGCTGCAGGCAACCTTCTGTGAATAAACAAAAATACTGAAAAACAGTTGATCAGACCAATACAGTTCCAACACACTGCAGAAATTTACATAACAAGCAGACTTCAGCCCTAAAAGTGTTAAGGATGGCGTTCATCCTCAACTCAAGCTTTCTGGACTCTCTGCATCCCATGAACTTGAAACAAGACAACACACTTGCAATGAAAATTCAAAGACAGACATACATTTTAATCACACAGATATTTAATAGAGTGCCTGCACTGATATTTGAAGGAAATATTGGTAAAGAGTTAACAAATGTGACCAAAATGTTTACTTTCAAATATTTTTTAAAAAAAAAAAGCACTATTTTAAGTAAATTTTCACAACTACTTCTCCCCTTAATCAACAGTCTGTACCTTGCACCTGCATTCAAACTTGGCCTCCTCAGTAGCACAGATGTGGCTGTTGCTTTCCCATAGCTCTGGCTGCGCTTCCCCCTGCAAGCCCGGTGTTTCCGACTGCTCATTCTCTTCTAGATGCCGGCTCGCTTTGACAGTCTGAGGTACTTGAAGCCATCTGCTCTGTGCTGCGCACTCCATTCTCTCACGTTACTACCAAACATTTGGCTAAAGGGTCTTTAAGCTGGGTTTCCTTCGGGGTTTGGTTTAATAGGATAGGATCACTGACGTAGTACAGGGTGTGGGTGGGGAGTGCATCCCACCCAACTTGTCCTTTCACCGGGTTTCACCCAATTTCTAGGCTTTCTGAAGCCAAAAAAAAAACCCCCACTAAAGTGGCATGTGTATTAGTGCAACAGCTGACCACTACTTATAAAGTCCACTACAAAGATAACAGGATATGCAACTGTTAATAAAGCTCTTGCAATCATTTTCTTATCAAATAAAAAAAAATGTCCTTTCCTTGAACGTTGCCCTTCTTCTGTCCTAAAAAAGACCTTGTAAGGAGCAGAGCGATAAGACAACCACAGCTAAACAGTGCCTAAATCCACCTAAGGTATCAATTATAGGTGTTACAGACTCAAAGAGGTTTATTTTTATAAACCAGGTCACAGGGGTTACACATCACTGACTACTGTTACAGCCAAGTTAGACCACACACCTGCATTAACCGCACAACTGCATAAATTTGACTAAACTAAAACGGCATGTCTGTTTTACAGGCAGTGAACTGTGAATAGTTTTAACATAATAATCTGAGGCCAAGCAAGGGTCATGAAGTAGGACTTCACAGAAGGACACCCAAGTGTCAATAATCAGAGCTTCTTCAAAAATAAGAAAGATGCGTGCCACAATTAAACTATGACTGAAAAGACCATATCCGAAAAATGTAAGCGGTCTGTGTTTTGCGTTTGTCACGTTTATGCTCAAGATAATGTGACACAAATATACACAAACCTACAAAAGCATGTGGGACCTCATGCTATGAGAGAGCTTTTAAATACCCAGTATCAGCACAACTTGTGAGAACAGTTGGATACTGTCGCCCACCTCCTGAGTCCTAAATATTTCACTTAAATGTCAGCCTTAGTGAAAACGGGTATGAGAAAAAGAATAACATTCGTTCCCTTGTGTTATAAGCAGTGAAAAGCATCATTTAAACCGTCAACGGCCGCCGCCGATTCAGCTTTGGTGCCAGCTAGCCTGTTAGCATCGTCACACAATGCCAGCTTTCCCAGCAAGCTCGCGCTGCGGCGAGGTCCTCAGTGGTGGTCCAGCAACAGCGAGATATACAAAAGCACTTATGTGGAGGGGAGAAAAATGCCGCCTGTCTTACCTTTTTCATGCGAGGAGCCTCGGCAACGGTTCCGTCCCGGTTGACAAACGCCTCCCCGCCGTTCTGCTGCGGGTCCGAGCGTTTCATAGACGACGCTTGAGGCATCTTCGCCGGGTTTGGGGTGAGCAAGCCCGTGCCTCCTTCCCCGGCTTTCGCGGAAGGCTCCGCGATAGGGGACACGGCAGCCGCGGAACCGGCCTCGTGCGGGTCGTTTCTGGGGAGGTTCTTGCCTTCCGACGTGGGTGTCACCGGGGATTCAGCCGGCAGGTCTTTGCCGGTGGGGACGTCTTTGAGTTCGACCTCTGCCATTTTCGCTGCCACAACCTGGACTGACATCGCTGCAGTTTCTCAAAGTCCTTTTTCCAGCACGATAGCGAGTCAAGCGGATGTGAGCGGAGGAGCCACGACGGCCAAATGCATTGTGGCTCTTGTAGTTCCACTAAGTAGCTCAATGGCCCACAGGACACTTCTCACACCACTTATTCGTACATGAGTAACGTTTTATTGGACGTCAATACATGCAGCAAAAGAACAATATCGTTACTTATTATTATAATACATTTAAATTAGCTAAAAAGAGAGTCCTAATAGACATTGAGACCACATTTCCCAATAGAGATAGCCGGGTTGTTAAATACACTCTGGGAAATGCAGTTTTTAATAAAAAGAGGACGACAATAAACTACATAACAAACGTGAGCTTTGCAGATAATGCGGTTTCAAGAGAAATTTCATAAAATGCACACTTAGATCTTTTTTGTGAAAAATAATCAAATTTCTTTCTAAAATAAAATATTTACAACGTACAAAATCCACTACTGGTGGTGGTCAGAGGGCCCGGTTGCGCCAGTGTTCGGCAGCCTTGCCTCTGTCAGTGCGCCCCAGGGTGGCTGTGGCTACAATGTAGCTTGCCATCACCAGTGTGTGAATGGGTGCATGACTGGATGCGTAAAGCGCTTTGGGGTCTTTAGGGACTAGTAAAGCGCTATACAATTACAGGCCATTTACCATTTTACTTGTTTTGTCAAAGTAAGCAAGAGCAGGCTGCGCTATTACACTCTGTGTGTACCAGAGTGTTTATCAATACTCTAGTCAATATACTGCATCACATAATGCGGTGGTACATAAGACGGGTACAAGACGAAGGTCAAATCACAAATAAGGAGCTGCACTGCCACCAAGTGGATGCCTAAGATATATAAAAAAAAAAAAAAAATAGATCTCAAGCACACTGCGTACAGTTCAAGGAAATGAAGAAACAAGTGTTTTCTATTATTAATATTTCAATTTAATTTCCAAGTCTCGTTTGACACTTGTAAAACAGCTTTATCGAAAACAAACAAACATGTAGAGGGTGGTATAAAATCCAAGGAGAAGAAATATTCACAGAAACAGACGTTGGTGACTTGAAGGCTTTTCATCTCTCCATCACACTTAGTTCAACTGTTGTACATGTATGTGCAGCATTTCCGCAGCTGTACATATACGTACAACTGCTTTCAGCATAGCTGCAATATCCACTGGTCTTTTTTTTCCCTCCCCAGTAATTCAAGCGCATGCCAGGAATAATCCGATTATTGCATTCTAAACTACAACAGGACAGGCGGGGAAAGCGACAAAACGTTGCTATTTACATTCAAGCTGATGGGTCTGAGCCCTTGCTGTCCACCAGATAAATCTGAGGTATATTATTTACAAGGCTGCCATGCGGGTACATTCTTAAAGTAAAAAATCAGAAACTCCAAACACTGTTAAAAAATACAGCTCTTTGTTGTATCATAAGCACTCTGTGGTGAAAAAGAAACATGTCTCTAAAAATGCAAATGAAAACACAGCAGGCTGTCAATCATCAAAATGTTCAAAGAACATGCATCTACTCTAACTGAAGTCTTGTGTGCTGTTTGTTTGTTGTTGTGTTTTGTTTTTTTTTGCTCATGTCCACCAGAAAGGGGACACACATGTCCTCAAATCCACTTGGAGTTCCCTTGTAACTTAATATTTGAGGATGACGCCTCAGTCCTCAAATATCCACAGGATGTTCACACCTGAGAGGCCCAGATTCACTCTCCTGAGGAGAATATGAGAACAATTTAACCACAGTACACAAGACAAGGTCAAAGTAGTCACTTAAAATAAATAAAAGTCTATCTTAAATCTGAACTTTAGTGCATCATTTCTATCGGGAAAATGAATCATTTCATGATTCTTTCTAATGTCTCTGTTCACGTTGGAGATTAAAATCCAACTAGCTTTGAATAAAGAGAAACACTCACCCCAGCATCCCTGACTCCTTGGTCTTAATAACATAGAGGAACATGAGGATTGTGTGGAACAGGTTGTTCCTGCCCTGTAACCGAAATCAACATAGGTTCACATCAGTGCAATAAAGTGTTACAAACAAGCAAGAAAACCTCAAATCTTACTGAACGATACGCCCGTTACATGCTGGCTCTTTCTCTAGGACGAGGAAGGCCCATGGATTTAAAGTAACAAGAGTTATTCTTTTATGAATAAAACATGGGTTTTTGATTTGCAAATCATTTTATTCAGCATCCCAACATTTGATAATGTGATAATGGCATTAGTATTTTAAGTTATCCTCCATGAAGGAGATTTTAATGTTTCCTTGGGAAAACAGAGGAATATGTAACAACTGCAAAATTATTGGCTACATTGTTAATTTAAACACTGCCTACAAATGGCCAACAATTTTACAACTGGTGCATTCCTAAAAAAAGAGAAGAAAATAAAAAGGAGTGAGAACCTTGGGAAGACTGTAGACATGTCCTTGGTAGATGAGCTGGTAGTGAGGAGGAGTGGTGCTGCTTTGATGAATGCAGAAGAGGTTCTCCTTGGTAACATCTATGAGTTAATACAAAAAGGTGACACAAAAGAAAAAAAAAAAGCAATGCTGGATTTCAAGGAGGATCAAACAGTGGCCATCTTAAGTCTTTAAGTACTATTCTTCAAATCCTATCTAATGTTGTGCTCACCAGGTTTGTCCGGGGTGTGGCTAAAATGTTGAGAAGTGAAAGTCTTCCCATCTGGGTACTTTGGGTGCGGAGGCAGCCTGGAGTCCAGGTATGTGCAAAACACATGCATGAGGATCTGAGGAGACAGACACGTAGTTATTGTGACACAACTGAGCCACAGCGTGTGCAGTAAAAGAGCAAGGTCGCTTTGATCTGACGAGTAGAACAATTACGGTAATTATTCCAACCTTTGCTACTGACATTTACTTTTTAGCTCATTCACACCCCATCCTTGTCCTTTAGAAGCATTAAAAAATCATTTATATGATGAGAACTGAACACTGGAGCAATTTAAACACATTTTGAGTATACTCACATGTGACATTTATTAAATGCACATAATAAATAAATAATTGCTGCTCATTATGTCTGTGTGGATATCGCTGGGTGTGGTCATGTACACTCACAGCACAGTCAGTAGGAAGGTCTGTATCCCATTTCCTGTTCTTCAGATCACCACCACCGTTCCAGCGAAAGGAGCTCATACAACCGCTGTGAGCCAGCTCTGACACAAAGAAGAAATAAAACACACAGCACATATGCAGTGAAGTCCAATCACAGGTCCACAGTGTTCATTTTTCATGGCTGAAAATAACACATTTTATTTAGTTTGATGCAGGTATACAGGACTTTTTTATATATATAAATTAATGCCTATATGCTTTAATATTAAACGCACCCTTTATCCGGTCCACTAGATACTCCTGGTTGGGTGTGATATCCAAGTATTGGACAATAGAGTTCAAAGTAGGGATGGAGGAGGCTTTGGTCACTGCTGCCTGTTTCAGACTGCTTATGCTGGCCTCTGGTGGAGAAAAAAAGTGAAAAGGTAAAGTAGCTGGCATAACAGTGCCTACAGAGTGTCAATTTCAATTGATTTGGAAATATTTTGAGGCAACTCCTTACTACTCATCAGTCAATAGCAGATTTTAGAAGTTTACCTCCTATCTGGAGCTCTGGGCAGCCCATTCTCCTGAGCAAGCTATTAACTGAGTCTATTTCTTTGACCAAGGGGACCAAGATAGTATCACTGATCCACTGCAGACACACATAAAATTATTTTTTAAAATTCAGATCAAATATTTCTGGACACCTGGAATTCATTAAATATATAGATAATCAAGTGAAGGCCTACTCACATTTCTAAGCTTGGCTGTCCAGCCATCAATGCGATCCAAAACCGGGCGACTGGTTGTGATTCTCGCCCACACCTACGTATCAGAAAGGAGATAGAAAACATTTTCAAAAGAGCCAACTATAGTTTAAAGAAGAGACAAAAAAAGGCTAATCTTTCAACTGATAAACCCCGCCCAAAAAACAAATACTGACACACAGACCTCCTCTGCAGCCTGTTTGGAGCCCAGGTCCGTCTCATCCTTGTGGGCAGAAGGCGCCTGAGAGCGGCATGCAGGCTGGTAAAGGAACTTCCTCAGGCTCTGCGCATAATCTCCCACCGAACGGTTGTAGTTCCAAAACGTAGGACTGTGACTTGGAGACACAGACTCTGGACTTCCTACACAGGGAATGACGCCATCATGACATCAGAAGTGACCTACTATGTTAGAATGGGGGATACTCATACTAACTATAGCCAAAGTTTCAAATAGAGCTGGGCGATAGAACGATAACGATATGTATCGCGATATAACTTTTACTCGATAG